AAAGACTCTTAGTGGATGTCAACTTGTGATTTTATGACAAATTTTGAGTCGTGTGCATTTATTTATCTCCCACAACTGTCACTTGTAGAAAAATAGCTTTTAACTGTCTCACCTGCAAACATGAAGGTGTTGGCCTCTGCCTGTATCTCCTGATCTGTTAGGCCTCGTCCATCTACATCCTGCAATTACACAGAATTACATTGCAGTCTCTTAAAACTATGGTCTCCATCCATCCCTCATTCTTAGTTCTTCTCTACCTTCGACAGCAGTATGATGTCCACGAAATCTTTCTTTCTCTGCGGCGCTGTGGTGAAGCCTGTTTCTGTCTTCGTCTGCTGGCCGATCAGGGCTCGACGCTTCTGAACCACCTCCCTGGTGAACCTGCAAACACCAGGTTTCACCCAAATATAGGACAGATCAGACAATAAGAAGGTGTTGCTGTAGAATACTACGATGTTGTATTATATGTCTGTGCGACACTGCTACATAAAGGTCAGAAGATCACAGTGCGTGAGCTGTACTTGTGCACAACGCCGAGGGCCTTTCTGAACCGTTTTCCCTGCTGTGTTTTCCAGTAGAACCAGTCCCAGTGGTGCAAAATCTTTTGCCGACGATCTATTACCAGGTCACTCAGCTCCACTACGGCTGACACGTACTCACTGGTAGACCTGGAAAGAGGAGAAAGACAAAAAAAGAAGATAAGAGAATCAAAGTACAATGGAAACATATTTGAGAAATAATGTGCGTTGTCCTCACCTCTGACAGTTGCTGTTGTAGCTGAAGGCACATTTCAGTAAACTGTCCAGCGTCATCAGAGTGACGTGGTCAAACATCTCTATGGTATTCGGGCCCTTTGCGACCAAGCGGCGCCACTTATCCTGAGAGACACAGAGAAGATGCAACAGAGACGTTTGCGTGCAGAAACTAAAAGTACACATTTCACCCTGAGTTCTACTCAGAAATGATGAACCACACACGCAACTGAATGCTTGCTTCGGCGTCTTACGTGCATGGTGTTAGTGGAGGTGTTGAACTTGGCGACGTAGTTCTTCAGGATGTCAAAATGAAAAGCGGGAGTCAGCAGCCGTCTCTTGCGAGACCAATCCTCCCCGTTGCTTAGTAAAAGGCTCTGTCCTGGGACGTTTAGGGGGAGAGAAGGTTTGGAGGTGAGGATGACAGTAAACAAAGTCTTTCAGTGGACTTTCGTCAGAGCAGCATGAGCTGTTTCACTCACCAAGCCATGGACGCAGATGGCCGTAGATAAGCTCATCTTTCATTGTTACGCTGGCTGGATGGAGGGAAGGAGGTGTGGATGTAATGGAAGGAGAAAAAGAACAAAATGTGGAAATGTGGCATTGATAGCTTCGGTCCAAAAAGTTTGTTTCCTGGTAATTATACTCTACCCGGGGCCATGAGCAGAGGCTTGACGTAGTCAGGGTGGAAGAGTCTGACAAAGTGATAGAAAGGGCCGATGAACCAGCTGCAGGAGTGTTTGTACGTCCGCACCAAGTCATCCGCCTGCAGGAGGCCTTCTTCTGTGCTCTGCATCTGAGGCGCAGACATAGTGCAAACCAAACATGACAATAAACGCCAACATTTGAATTGAACGTTTGAATTAAAAGATTAGTGGAGTGAGTTTTGGTTGGTTTTACACTCTAACACTTTGCTGAATTCTTATTGAAATTAACCACAAAGAGGAAATATTGTAATAATAACTTGCAACATTGAGCACACCATGTATCGACAGTTCCTTATGTCTTGTTTCGACATTGACCAGGCATTAATGCCGCAACAGTTAAATGTAACAGATGAGGTGATAGCGTAGCAGGATTAATCGTAGAACTGACAATTATAAATGCATGTGTGCGTTTTACCAGCCTCGGTGTGTGTGTCCTACCTGGCCCAGGTGGCCTAAAAGCCAGGAGTTTGCATGTGGCTTGCTGAAGCAGGACAGCCTGTGTGTGTACCAGGCGTGTCGCACCAGCAGCCTCACCGTCCAAGCTGCAACCACAGCTCCCAGTCCTGTACCGAGCACAAACAGGACCCGACAGAGGCCCGTCCAGCTGAGGACTGGAGAGAGGACGCCCCAGAGGAGAGACATCCCGGGACAGCAAGAGAGAGCGACGAGTATACAGAGGTCGCTTGACAGTCGCCCTGCTCTGACTGTGTTCACAATGAGAAGTTACTGATGTTGACATATGCAGAAACCAAACTGTTCCACCCAATTATTTCAACAGGAGCAAGTGCTGTAACCACTCGCACATATTTGAACACTCCCTTTGTTAAAATAACCACTCATTTCCCACATCTTTGTGTCATGTTGATGGGAAATTACAACCATTAACTTGGTTAATTCGCGTATAGAATGTATTTAGGCGTTAGTTCGAGTTGATAGGAATGCACTGCTGTTATTCTGACAAGTTTCTTTTATCTTAAAGGGACAATATGCTCAAGAGGTTTCTTTTTTATTTGAATCTTTTTTCATCATCTTCATTTTGTTCTTGCCAATTATGTTGACGTTGTTTTAAGATAGGCATTCTTCATTGAAAAAGCGACAATTAAATAATTGCAAAGTTACTGTTTATATATTTATTATTAATACATTTTATCAAGTTTAATTTTTGTTGCAGATATTTTAATTTCCTTCTCAAAAATTGTGCTCGACTTCTCCAACCTTTTCTAGCAAATTCAATTTACCATCGATGAACTCCACAAAGGAGCATAAATCGTTTTTAAACCGTAAACTACTTTGTCATAATGTCTCGTCGGCCTGCTTTTTGCGTCACGCTGTGCGCGCTCCCGCGACATTCATGCACGACTCTGCAGAACGCCTGTTTCACCTGAGCGGACAGACGGGTCCAGACAGTCAGGAGTCTGAAGGGGAAATAAAGTTCAGAAATCGTTGTTGGACTTCTACCGACTGCCTGAAATGAGACACCGGAGACACGGTGCGTGTGCACAGCTGTAATGTTTGAACTTCAGACAGTTTCAGGTGAGTTTTAATTCAACATTTCGGACTTAATGGTGTGGAAAAACGCGACCCTGCGTTAATTAGCGTAATTACAATTAGCTGGTGAGTTTCATGTGTCCCCATGTTTTCCCTTCATCCAGTTAATTGGTCTTTTTAATTACATATTTGCTAAATGCCAGGCATTTATGCAAGAAAGTAGTAATTTGCCCCTTTTTATTGGACATCATAGATACTCGTGTTGTAATTCTATAAAATGGAAAACAGTGTAACGCTTGTCATTTTTGATTTAAAAACGGTATTCTAAAATAGTTTACCGCTGTTGGTGCACTAGGGAATGAATACTGCAGTGTAGTTATGTCTTCAGGCTGCTATTCATCAATATATCATTTATTCTTATATTATTTTGGACCAAGTCAGCTATTAGATGCTTGCTTTTTTTCAGGTCATCATTTAAAGTCCCTCAGAAATAAATCACATTTTAATGTTTGACACCAGAGACTCTGGGATATTTAAATAAGATAAATAATATGATAAATAAGAGAAAAACAAAATAATAATTTAGGCCTGAATTTGAAGTATTAACATTTCTGGATATTAATATTGGAGAAGTGAAGCCCATATTTTTAGACAATCCTAATATAACGCGCTTTGAAAGGAATGTAGAAATATCCAGTATCTCATTCTCCTTCCTCTGTGTGCATGTTTCAGCTTTTCAGCTTGAAATGAATGAAACTGCAGAAGGGCACAGCGGGTGTACCAACCAAGAGAGGTCTCTACCTGCTTCCAGCTCCACCCAAACATGGCTGCCAGCTGAATCCCCTCTGTCAGATCGTCCGATGGAGCGAGACCGGCATCACGATGAGATGCAGTCGAGCCCTCCGTCTCCTTTCTACGAGGAACTCTTTTACACCAGCCAGACCTCCAACATCGTGGTCCCTCTGACCGGTGCCCTCATGACCTCCTCCGGGCCACAGAGCCATGTGGTGAAACAAGGTTACCTGGGGAAGCTGGATCGGAATGACAGAAGATATTTTGTCCTGAGAGCAGGAAGTCACACCGGGCCGAGCCGACTCGAGTGGTACAAGAACCAGGAGAAGTTCACAGCAGTGGAGAAGTCTGCTGGTAAAGCTGCGCTGTTTGGCTCGAGTAAGCAAGGGTAGGTTCAAGCAACTTTAACCAACTAATGTGTAAATAGAAACTGAAGACCAGGCAATACAATACACTACAATACATGACTATAAAGTAACTGCAGAAAAACTACAATCCAAAATGAAATTGTTTCCTTCCTCCCCAGGGTGATTTACCTGAGGTGCTGTCTTGGTGTGAGTCGGAGTGGCAGTGCTAGGAACGGCCGCACGCTGGCGCTGTATGCCAAGGATCAAACCATGGTACTGGTGGTGGAGCACCAGTGGGAACAAGAAGACTGGTATCTGGCCATTAAGAAACTGATGGAGGAAGAGCGGAAGGATGAAGAGCATGGAGAAGGATTTGATGAAGACGATGATGGGTATTGCACCCTGCCCCCTGCTGCGTTCTTCAAAGAGGTCAGACCAGATTTTTATTGTTGTGCATTAGATTTAAAGGGACAGTGTGCAGGATTTGCTGGCATTTAGCAGTTTGGTTGCAGATTGCAACCAGTCAGTTGTGGGGTACTATAGAAACATGGCGGACTCCGTGAAGAGGACCGCTCCATATGTCGATATGAAGGGTTCATTCTAAGCTAACGAAAACCCAACCGTTCTTAGTTTCAGGTGATTATACGCTTCTGAAAATAATAGCAAATGAGAGTTCCTTGTTGTAACTTTTAAGTACTACCAGCTTTTCATTAGATATAAATACCCCTACCCCGATCTTTGCCTCTGCTCCCTTCACTGTCGTCTAAGGTATGGCCCATCACAGTGAAGCCCATAGGTCTGGGTTGTTCCAAGTCCCTGGCTGGGGAGAGCCGTCTCTGCCTCACAGCTACGTCTCTCATCTTGGTCCGAGTGACTGCATGCAGTAATTTGCCGTCGGTTACCATACCTTTACTGAGTGTTAGGCGCTTTGGTCACTTGGATGGCTCGTTCTACTTGGAGCTCGGCAGGTCGGCACCAAACGGTCCTGGAGAGATCTGGTTGGGAGCAAGAGACCAAGGTAATTAAGACGTAAAAGATGTGCTGATTTCACTCATGTCTGCCTTACCATAGGACCGTGACTTCTTTTGTCTGCTCTGTACAGGGAACCCAGCAGTTGCCCACCACATTCATGAGGTGGTTCGTGAGACAGTCAGGGCACTGCGAGCTCTCCCTGACTTCAGCCGGTCTCCGACCTCCAACCACCATCAGCTTCAAACCCTTCTGGCTCTAAAACGCTGCAGACCCAAACACAGAGACAAACCGGTGAATGTGAGACCACCTGGTTCTCGTCTGGCCCCGCCCCTCAGAAACCCTGAAATCCAGAAAGGTCCAACTAAATGTTACCTCGAGCTCAACAAAACGGAGCCTGAATCCACTCTGAGCTCCTCCTCACATCCCGGCCCTCTCGGATCCCATCCGAGCTCCGTGTCTGAGACTGGAAGCTACATGGAAATGAAGATGGATCAACATCTCCCAGCGAACAAAGGGAGGGAAAACGACTGCGGAAGAACTTTCATGGCGACAGGGCACCACTGCAGTGTTGCAGCCTGCGGGATGGAGAGCTGGGAGCCAGCTGTGGAGCAGGGTCTGGGTTACATGATGATGTCGCCACCAGCACTGCCGCAGGATGACTATGTGACCATGACAAGCCCACATAAACACAACGGACCACCTCACCCTTCACCCTCTTCTTCCCCTCAGACATTCAACTGGTAAGATCCCAGAGAAACTTGGTAGGAAACATTACAAATGCAAGCCTCAGAATGTACTAAGAGGTTATGCTGAATGCACAACTTGTGCAGTGTTTGTATTTAAACATGTAGTATGTATTTTTTTTTGTAGCTCCACCTCTGACAGCTACTCTCCTCTGCACCCGTCACATCATCGGACCAATGAGGACAGTCGGCCACACTGGCTGGTGACCTCAGTCCAACAGTCCGAAACAGAAGCTGGCCAATCACGGATGAGCTGCTTATGGCGACCACAGGAAGCTGCAAGGCAGGAGCAGATATCGGCAAAGCGGAGACGAGTAGCACAGACCTGGGCCTCTTTGTCTCCTGTGAGGAGTGTTGATCGGTCTGGCGTGACAACTCCAAGTGGACCAGACCAGACCAGGCCAGTCCAGGCGAGGCCAAACTCTGGCGCAGGCAGGTCGAGCCGAGCTGCATCAGAACGATGTGTGAGAAGATACCGGCTGTCGTTGTGTCTGCCTTCCTGCCTGCAAGCTGGGGATGGAAACTGAGTTGTTGTAATAATTATTTTGTTAAAATCAATAATCTGAACAGGAGCTACTTATTATTCACGTGCAGCAGGTAACGTTATAGTTACAGGCCACAAAAAGTAAACTTATGAAAGAATAATTGATTGAAATATTCAATCAACCATCTTAAATTAAATACAGAATATGTTTAAAAAAATAAAGTTGTCTTTGACACATTTATATTGTTATATTGTCTGTAAATGCACTAAGTGTTTGGTTTCAGTTTTCCCCTTTTTGTCTATTTTCGTTCCCTCTTTTTGACTCTTCACAGCACTATAGATGCTCCATTGTTATATGAAATAATTAAAAGAATAAAGTCGCATGAATACAAATGTTTAAGCCCTTTATTGATCGGTAACCAGGGTGAGGACAACAGCGTATAATAATCACAAAGATTGTGGAATTTAAGAAACTCGTTTATTCGAACAATGAAGCTGCTTGCAGTTTAATTACTAATGGATGTTCTTTTCCTTTGCTGTGTGATAATGCACTGTATAGTCTTCATGCAGGATTCTGTCATTGCCTAACATAACTGCTTAAATACTGCAACATTGTTCGAGTTCATAATTATCTCGGTACATGTGAACATCAGAGGTGAGACTTGTGGACAGATGTACATAATAAAGAGCATGTTGGAGAGTTTAGTGTGTTTCAATGCTAAAGACTGAAAAAACAAATGACTAACGTAGAATAAAGTCATCCATTCTTCAATAATATGACAACTTATTTAGTGATTCATTATCTATAGATTGGCTGATGGAAGTTGGAGCTGTATTTTTACCCGAGTTGGTTACTTGATTAACAAACAATTACCGCTCTAAATGCTTTCAAACTTATTTTCATTAGAGGAAATACTCCCTGTAGGCCTTACATGACAAGTATCTTTTAGCTTCACGCTACTTTTCCTTTTCAATATTACTATATTGACTATTTTCTGTTTCCTCTCATAGATGGTTGCAAGTTGACTGGTGTTTACACAGTCCGTGGGAACTATGGTGGAGTCTTCAGGTTTGTGAAGAAGAGGAACGTTACACAGAATGAACGTCATGAAAAATTACAAATAGGTCAGTATTTAATGTCAGCGCCGTGCAAATATAGTGTTCATTTGGGTACATAGAGATTGTGTACTGTTTTCTAATGCAGAGAGGGAATAATGGAGCCTGGAGGTGTCTTAATGCAGTTTATTTAACAAATATTCAAAGTGTATTCTTAATAAAAGCACACTTTACTCCCCTGTTTCTACCTAATTTATGATCCAAAATGCAAATACAGTGAGAGAATGTTTCTGTTATGCATTCTTGTCCTGTCCTCTGTATCCATGTCCACCTAAGAAATGATCTGTTTTAATTCTGCACAGTTTAATTAAAACGTATTTATCTCAAATCCATAGAAACACACTGTACCACACATTGACCCTCCCCCCCCCCCACAATGAATGACGCGCTCTTCCTGTGAGGTCATCACTATTTAGCTCAGGTGGACGAGCTCGCCTGATGACGCATCCAAGATGGCTGACAACAACCTGCGCGGTTACTGCTCGCGTGTTTGTGAATGGAGGACCAGAGGAAGAGGGAGACCTGCAGCTAACGTTACCTGCGAGTTACGATGTCATTCCGGGGCTTTTGGTTACAGGTGTTCTACTGTTGTTGTTGTTGTAGAGATGCACTTCCTTGCTTTGAACACTAGAGGGCGTACTTCATAAATGATATGGACTCATAGAGGGTTGCAGGGATGACGCATTTCTGTAGGCCAGCTAAGGGGAGTTAAAAGAGGGCACGTCAATCTATCGTGGGGGTTCAACACATGCGCAGTAGAATCTGGTCTCTCTAACTGGCTGCCGTCATAAGACATGATATTGATCGATCGCTCGTCTACCATGACACCCTCCCTGTGGACTGAGGCGGACTTCAGAATACCTCAAGCTGACGTTACAGCCCATGTTATTTGTCTTCTTTTGTTGGTTGTCAGAGAGAAGACTCAAGGTGTGGGGGCGAGGAGCAGCAGACTGGATGGAGACGAGGACATCAAGGTGAGGAGAGATGGACCTGAGAAACAAACTATCATCTGTACACAGCTGTAAACCGCAACAGTCGAACCACATGCCTTTTATATAGGAACGATTGTGTGTCTGTAATGTGTTATTTGTGTCTCCATCCTCCAGAAAGTGCTGGAGTAGCAGCTGGAGAAGCTGCTCAAGCGGTTTGGATTCCGTTTTTCACATGTTGCTCGGTTCTCGACTTGCGGGCTGGGAATGTGATTTTCAGAAGATAACACAGCAGCAGTGTGCAGAACAAATCCCAGAACAGACGGGCAGGCCTCGAGCTTCAGGGATAGCTCACCGAGATAAGCAGCTGACAGTGAGTGACGCGTGGCACCCTGAGGAGAAAGGTTCAAATCCATCTCCATCTCAAGGTCCGGTCTGTTTCCACCACCGATTAGAGGCACCAGAGCTGAAGATGATTCAAGATGTGATCTGGTGTTTTATTTGTAAATGCGCAGAACAATCTCTCATTGTTGTAAAGGAGCTTAAGTGTTAGTTTTGTTCCAGAGGTTTTCTGTGTTTAAGAGCTGAGTGAAGGCGGTGTGACCAAATAGCTCAGTCAGTTAGCAGACTGCTCAGAAGACCTGAGGTCATGAGCTCGCTCCTTGTGAGGTGCAGTGATTTTTTGAGTGAAAGTGCTGACACTAGTGATGCGTGACAACATGAGGTGAAAGGATGAAACCCTAACTGTGTTTCAGGAAGGTCCAGTCTGTTTCCTCCACACATTTGAAACACTAACAACAAAACTGAAGGAGCTTCATAGAGAAGAGTGATAGTTTATTTTTGCAGGAGAATGTGTGACGCTGCAGCAGCAGCTGAGCGCGTCAGATTGGGAGTCTGGAGGTTGTGGGCTCCATCCTGTGGCGCAGTGAATTTTAAGGTCCAACACCCAAGATGAGGAAGTTAAATACTCTATGAAGATGTACGACTTGACATAAGTGAGGCTGGGTTATGAGTGACTGGAGGTTATGAGTTTGTACATTCAGGTCAACCAGTCAAAACAGAGGAGACAAATATGCAATGAACCAGACATGAGTGTCAGATCAGATAGCTCGAGGTGATAGACGTCCTCTTAGAAGACAGGAGGAGGTTGTGGGTTCAAACCTTATGTGGTGCAGTGACTTTTGAGGTCTAACAGCCAAAGGAAGAAGTCAAATATAGCAAGAGAAGAGTTCAAAGTGTGAGTGATGTGATGGTGAGATTACACAGTTCCAGGTTTGGATCGCGCTGACCCGGGTTCGCTCCTCACCTATGTGAGGACATCAATGTCCACGACCCCGGGGGTCGAGACGTCCGTCTCCTCCTGGGTTTTCAGAGAAATTAACTCATTTGACTCATTTTATACTACATTTTTATGATTATGATTTTTGATGATCAGCTTGAGGTATTCTGAAGTCCGCCTCAGTCCACAGGGAGGGTGTCATGGTAGACGAGCGATCGATCAATATCATGTCTTATGACCGCAGCCAGCTAGAGAGACCAGATTCTACTGCGCATGTGTTGAACCCCCACGATAGATTAACGTGCCCTATTTTAACTCCCCTTAGCTGGCCTACAGAAATGCGTCATCCCTGCAACCCTCTATGAGTCCATATCATTTATGAAGTACGCCCTCTAGTGTTCAATGCAAGGAAGTGCATCTCTACAACAACAACAACAGTAGAACACCTGTAACCAAAAGCCCCGGAATGACATCGTAACTCGCAGGTAACGTTAGCTGCAGGTCTCCCTCTTCCTCTGGTCCTCCATTCACAAACACGCGAGCAGTAACCGCGCAGGTTGTTGTCAGCCATCTTGGATGCGTCATCAGGCGAGCTCGTCCACCTGCGCTAAATAGCGATGACCTCACAGGAAGAGCGCGTCATTCATTGCGTCATCAAAAAACTACTTGAACGTGTCATTCATAATGTCAATTTTTACTGTTACTGACTTCTCCACGGTTAGAAATGGACAGAAAGCTGAAAAACATTGTCAACAATATCTATTTATTTAGATATTTTAGAAATATTCTGATATACTGTATAGCTTTATTCTAACTTTGCACAAAGAAGACATGATTTGACGAACACATTACATTTAAAGGGAACTCAGATTCAACAGTTCAATGGCCCTCTGACAAAGAAACACTGATGCGTCTTTGTACTTCTCCAAAGACTTAAAACCTTGACCTTGTGTGGTACAGTGTGTTTCTATGGATTTGAGATAGATACGTTTTAAACTGTGCAAAATTAAAACAGATCATTTCTTAGGTGGACATGGATACAGAGGACAGGACAAGAATGCATAACAGAAACATTTTCTCACTGCATTTCCATTTTGGATCATAAATTAGGTAGAAACAGGGGAGTAAAGTGTGCTTTTATTAAGAATACACTTTGAATATTTGTTGAATAAACTGCATTAAGACACCTCCATAGAGGCTGCATTATTCCCTCTCTACTCCCACTGCATTAGAAAACAGTACACAATCTCTATGTACCCACATAAACACTATATTTGCACGGCGCTGGCATCAGCCAATAACAACACGCTGTGCGTTGGTGAGACTTATGGCACATATTAATCCTGTATTATGTGATTTAACGTCATCATTATTACTATTGATGAAAAGGGTCAAATCGGCATGTTTTAGATATTTTGTCACAACATGTTCACATGATATGATCTCCTTCAAAGTGGACATTTAGGAGGTATGAGGCTTTCAGCAGACACAAGAAACGCATTTAAAGAGACAGGCGTGTCAATATTTTTCCTTAAGGCATGGAATATGCAACGAGGTAACAGCCATCGACTGCATCGCGCTCGCCCCACTGATGTCATGTCAACATCACAGACACAGAAACAAAACATGACCACCACTGCAACATCAGGACGAGTGACATTGTAAATGTTATCCGTTTTTTTTTTCTTCCGGAATTGATATTTTAAGCTGATAAACACAACTTTGACCACAAATCAAATATTCTGCTGGGACACTGAGCAGAACAATACACACACTGTAGAAACAGAGTTAACGGGATATATGTTTGACATTATGATTAGAATGAGAGCTGAAACAACAGGACTCTCACATATTATCCCATAAAATATTCAGTACATATGCTGTACTGAATATTTGCTGTATATCGCCTTCTTCATTTCATATAAAGGCCGTAGTTTCACCCGCCACTTTAGAATGGCTCTTATAGATATACTGTCTGTACAAGTTCTGCATTGCCCTCCTTTATAGTCTTTGTACAAGATATAACATCTCCTTTTTTTCAATTTATATATATATAGATCTCC